TTTGGTGGAGGCTACGTAAAACTCGCAGCGCGTCCTGCACTAATTTCGGGGGCCCTTGGTGGCTTGGAAAAAGGCCCTTCCTAATTCTGGCGAGGTTTTCTCGCCCCTTCTTTGAGGGCTCGCACCGCTTGCGCAGGTGTCGGGCGTTTGTCGCCGCCAATTTTCCACAGACCGAACACAGGAATAATGAATATTCATGTCAATCGTGCATTCGGTGAGAACTGTGGACCTCGCGACCTCCGACCGACACGGCTCCCGTGACGGCCTCAACTCCATCGGGAAAACCGCTGCCCTGGCCCACGAGTGGGGCCACGACAGAGGAGCACAGAGTTCCGGCAACGTCGAGGAGCTGGCACGACGGGACGATCATACGGCAATGGGTGCAAAACCAACGCCTCTGGTCCTTCGTCCAGGCTTGCTTGGACCTGGCCACGCTGGACGCTCCGAATGCCGAGATTCCCAGGAGTTGACGGCTAAAGTGACAGCAGTTGCCCGACGAGCCCGCTGCTGCACGAGAGTGGAAGTCGCGTCCCATGTATCGGTCAGAGGGACCTCACCGACCAGGGCCCTTTCAAGGGCCCACTCTGCAGCCACCCCAGCCATCTTACCGGCGCAGGCGTAGTAGGATGATGATCATGAGGAGGAGGAGGCGGAGGAGAAGGCGGAGGAGGAGGAGGAGGAGGAGGAGGAGGAGGAAGAGGATGAGGAGGAGGAGGGGAGGAGGAGGAGTGGAAGAGGAGGAGGAGGAGGCGGAGGAGGAGGAGGAGGAGGAGGAGGAGGAGGAGGACGAGGAGAAGGATGAGGAGGACAAAGTACTGATACCGCTGCCCTTCCCTGGTTCTTTCGTTTTAGGGCTCTTTGGGAGGCCCTCGCCGCTACGGCCGGATTCGCTTCGAAATTCTGGTCAGAATGCACCCCAGGAGAGGTCCTGGGAGTAATGGTATCGGTACCTTTTGGCTTCCTCTGAGTAGGAGGAAGAGGAGGAGGAGGAGGAGGAGGAGGAGGAGGAGGAGGAGGAGGAGGGAGGAGGAGGAGGAGGAGGAGGTGGAGGATGAGGAGGAGGAAAAGGGAGGAGGAGGAGGAGGAGGAGAGGAGGAGGAGGAGGAGGATGAGGAGGAGGAGGAGGAGGAGGAGGAGGAGGAGGAGGAGGAGGAGGAGGTAGGAGGAGTAAGAGGAGGAGGAGGAGGAGGAGGAGGAGGAGGAGGAGGCGGAGGAGGAGGAGGAGGAAGTGGTGGTGGACGGCCATGGAGGCGGGCTTGCAGTGAGTACGAGGAGGAGGAGGAGAAGGAGGAGGGAAGGGGGTGGGAGGGCAGGAAGGAGAGGAGGAGGAGAGGAGGAGGAGGAGGAGGAGAGCAGGAGGAGGCGGAGGAGGAGGAGGAGGAGGAGGAGGAGGAGGAGGAGGAGGAGGAGGAGGAGCCAGACATCCAACGTCTTGAACATTTCAAGGCGGAAGTTTTCTGCAGTTTTCGGGCCTCAGAGGTCCCACGCCGAGGCAGTCAAAGGACGGCCCAGGACGAAGGACAAGCCCCGGGGAGAGGGTCGGGACTTCTGGGGCCCCGTGAGGATCAAGAGCCAGGCATCGGATGCCTGGGGAGTATGGGCCTTATTCAGCTCTTTCCTCCTCTCCTCTTCTCCCATGGTTCTGGCTCCTCCCCTCCTCTCCTATCCTGCGAATGCTGCGCCTCCCCTCCTCCCCAACGATTCGAATCCAGTGCATTTCAACTTCCATCCTCCCTGACGGAGTTGGCCGCTTGGTAGGGGGGAAGAGGAAGAGGAGGAGGAGGAGGAGGAGGAGGAGGAGGAGGAGGAGGAGGAGGAGGAGGAGGAGGAGGAGAAGGAGGAGGAGGAGGAGGAGGAGGAGGAGGAGGAGGCGAATGAGGAGGAGGCGGAGGAGAAAGAGGAGGAGCCAGACATCCAACGTCTTGAAGCAGTTAAGGCAGAAGTTTTCTGCAGTTTTCGGGCCTCAGAGGTCCCTCGCCAGGTCCCGAGGCAGTCAAACGACGGCCCAGGACGAAGGACCAGCCCCGGGGAACGGGTCGGGACTTTGGGGCCCCGTAAGGAACAAGAGCCAGGCATCGGATGCTTGGGGAGGATGGGCCTTATTCTGGCTCCTCCCCTCCTCTCCTATCCTGCGAATGCTGCGCCTCCCCTCCTCCCCAATGATTCGAATCCAGTGTATTTCAACTTCCATCCTTCCTGACAGAGTTGGCCGCTTGGTAGGGGGGAAGAGGAAGAGAAGGAGGAGGAGGAGGAGGAGGAGGAGGAGGAGGAGGAGGAGGCGGAGGAGAATGAGGAGGAGGCGGAGGAGAGAGAGGCGGAGCCAGACATCCAAAGTCTTGAAGCAGTTCAGGCAGAGGTTTTCTGCAGTTTTCGGGCCTAAGAGGTCGCACGCCAGGTCCCGAGGCAGTCAAAAGACGGCCCAGAACGAAGGACCAGCCCCGGGGAAAGGGTCGGGACTTCTGGGGGGAGGGAGGGAGGGAGGGAGGGAGGGAGGGAGGGA